GCCAGTCAGAGACCCAGTGTTCAGCTGTGCCGTTAGACCCCGGTAACCCTCTTCTTCTTCTCTGCTCCAGATTAATTTCAGGTGTAAACCATCATTCAGAGAATCAGGATCCAGAAATATTCGAGAGGTGAGTTCTGGTTTCTTTCTTTGGATCATCGTACAGTCACAGCTATAAACACTCATGTTCGTTGAATTCTGAGTGTTGTAAATTTCTGCTGTGTTTTTTGTGTGTGCTCAGCCCATTGTGGTTCGCCATCACTGGGTGCATCGGAGACGACAAGAAGGCAAATGCAGACAGTGTGGGAAGGTGTGGAAATGATTGTCTCACTGACGAGCAATAGCGCTGTTGTCCTAAACATCTGCTTTGCATCTTTAACTGAGCAGAAGTGGAAACAAGTTTCTCCGTCTTTGCTTTCAGGGCTTCCAGCAGAAGTTTGCGTTCCACAGTAAAGAGATTGTTGCCATCAGCTGCTCGTGGTGCAAACAGGCTGTGGGTATCAAACTGATGCCATTCATGTCTCCAGAGCTCAATAAATGCACATATTATAACCATGCATCTCTTCCATTAGTACCACAACAAGGTTTCTTGCTTCATGCTGCAGCAAATTGAGGAAGCTTGTCCAATGGGTGCTCACGCTGCCCTCATAGTTCCACCCACATGGATAATTCGGGTCAAACGCCATCAGGTAACGCTGTTCTTAGTGCTTCCATCCTGCTTCAATTATGAGGTCATTTTGTTGTCTGCTGTCATTCAGGCAGCCATCAGTCAGATCAGTGGTTTCGTGTTACTGCAGGTACTTTAAGTGGTGTGTGGATAGAATAAAAGGAACTGTAGGGGAGCAGTGATGGCAGCACATCCTGATGAAATGATGTGAAATCAGCTGCTTTTTCTCTGTCTCACAGTCATCGATGAAGTCCAGCAAAAAGAAAAAAAGAACATCGTTCAAGAGGAAAAGCAGCAAAAAAGAGGTTAGTCTTGTGCTACAGTCATACTGCAGATAAAGCTCGAACTCT